TAAGCCAGCAGTTGGACATCCTTAGTGCTGCCGCAGAGGCAGCAGAGGCTCCCACCACCGCTGCTGTGCTCGCCAGTCGTGAGCCCGGCTTCCACCCCTCCTCCCCCAGTATATGTATGTCGTGCACCGGGCCTATAGTATATAATATATATGATGGATGTACATATATATCACACATACATATGCATATATATCATGTATACTAATCCATGATAATTTCTATGTTTGAAAATATTTTTTTCAGTCTGTGATCTGTCTTGTAACTTTATATGTTGTTTATTATTAAACAGAACCTTAAAATTAGAAAAAAAGAAAACTCAGATCAAATGTCCTATGGTGAGCAGATCAGTAGAGACATTTTAGGGCAGTACTTTGTGAAGGGACTATAATCCAAAAGCCATATGCATTTTTTATTTTATTTTATTTTATTTTTTTAAATATATATTTTATTGTGTTTTTTACAGAGAGGAAGGGAGAGGGATAGAGAGTCAGAAACATTGAAGAGAGAGAAACATCGATTAGCCACCTGTGCACATCATAGAGAGCGACTGAGTGGCCTTAGCATATCATTAGCATATTACGCTTTGACTGGTTGAACGGCTGACGGGATGACCAGACACTTAGCATATTAGGCTTTTACTATATAGGATTTACTATGACTAAGAAGTGTATATTACTTGAAATCCACTGAACTGCTACTAGAATTTCTGCTGATATGATTTCCAATAGACATTTAGGTTAGATACAGGGAAGGGAAAGATGGGTTTATAGTTTTGAGTACAAAAAACCCAAGAGTTTATTCTTGTGTTATTATTAATTATTGTATTATTTATTTGTATTACAATTGTAAACCTATTTTTGCCCACCTCTGTATAGTTTTTTTTTTTAATGAAAAACCAATAAGAATTCACTGCTTTGGCAAGTTAAAAAATTTTCTAGGCTACAGTTAAAAAAGAAAAGTTGGAACCAATAATATAGTAAAGTTTCTGGAATGAATTCTTATGAATACATATATATATATATTTACAAAAGAGTTTATTTGACCCCAAATTCAAAATTGCCCAAGTAGCAAAATCTAAAGTGCTCCAGATGAATATTATCCTATCTAATAATAGACAAACATGGTAATTAACCGTAACTTCGCTACCCTTCCCATTGGCTAATCAGGGCGATATGCAAATTAACTGCTAACTAAGATGGCGGCTGGCAGCCAGGCAGCTAAAGCGAACAGGAGGCTTGCTTGCTCCAGTGACGGAGGAAGCCAACGTTCCCCG